CACCTCAAGATACTTCATATTGTAAAATAAAGACCATACAATAATGCAAAGACCCCCCCCCCCTTCAGAAAAACAAAAAACAAACAAACAAAAACAGAAATATTCAAGTGCCAGAAATGTACCATTACATCAAAGTAAAGAAAGTTTCCATAATTAAATTACAGTAAATGTCCTCATGTGATGATAATTTAAATATGGTTGTTTTAGTTTTAAATTTACACAAAATATTTTGTATTTTAACAGATTTTATATAGTAAATAAAGTTGAAACAATGAAATGACTAATAATATGGTCAAATACATTTACATAGACCTAATATTGCAGAAATGCGCTGTTGTTGGGTTTTATTATGAAATTTAATGTAAAAAAAGAATCTTGTACTTTTATTCCATAATTTAAGTCAAAATACTTTTATTAAACTAGTAACTGGGTTTAAAAATGACAGTAATCTAATGTTCATCTTTGTGCATATGAAGTGTTTGATGGGTTTGTCCATGTATTCTATGATGGATTCAGCCTTTTACAATAGCCAGAAAACGGTATTGTAATTATAATATAGTTTGTTACAGATTACATCAAGTAAATACTAATGGTGTGAATATTGAAAGAGCTGACTCCAGACCATCACACTTCCTCCTCCGTGTTTGACAGTCCACTGTGGAACCGTCCTTTCACCCACTCGACGGCGTACAAAGATCCCGTCTGATGACCCGAAGATATCAAATTTTGATTTATCAGACCATAATAGTGTTCTTCAAGTTACTTCAAAAAAGTAATTAGTTACTTATTCTCCAAAAAAGTAATCCCATTACATTACTGATTACTTATTTTCAAACGTAATAGTTACTTTATTACTTAGTTACTTTTAAAAACATGATGCACAACCTGTAATAAAGCAACAGACCTTCCAGCCCAATTCTATTTTTCTGCATAATCCATCATATAAGATGTAATCCAACAGAAAGCCTCTTCCTAAAAATGTTTTATTAGTTTTAATCTTTGAACTTTGAGCACATCGAGCAAAAATGTAATTATATGCAACATCTCTGACTTGTGTTCAACATTTAAAGCTATTTTCTGCACATTCCAGCAGATAAAATCTAATCATGTTTTAAATAGATGCAAGTAAAAAAAAAGAAATCTTAAATCTATTGTCTGTGTTTATCAGGAGTGGGGCGGGTGGAGGTTTGCCCACAGTGGTCATGTCAGTGGGAGGATCCGGGGGTTTCTCTGTGAGTGTCACGTTCCCGTGGCAGCGTGCTCGCTGCTCGCTCAGATTTCAAGTTTCATTTTTCGCTGTAAAAAGACGTTTTCTTCCCGCGCAGAGTGAACGCCAGACACTAATGTTTGTGTCACTTTTTACAGAATCAAACTCAAAGTAATGTGATTACTTCCACACTTTAAACGCTGCATGGTCGTGCTCTCTCCATCACTCCATATGATCCATTGTTGATCTGCACACAGCTGTTACCACGGACGTCGCACACTCGTACGTCATTTTCATGAGACACTCTCACAAACAAAATCACGGTTTAGTAACGCAGCGTGCTTACGGGAAAGTAACAGTAATCGAATTACTTATTTTTGCAATAGTAATCCCTTACATCACTCATTACATGAAATAAGTAATCAGATTGCATTACTGTCCGTCTCTGGTCCATAGTACCTTCTTCCAGTCTTCAGTAGTCCAGTGTCGGTGTTTCATGGCCCGGACAAACCTCTGTCTTATTCTGACGTCTTCTTTCTTTCTGCAACTCGTCCTGTCAAACCTGCAGCTCGAAGTTTTCTCTTCACAGCTGAAACTGAGACTTTCTCACTACGACCACTATGAAGCTGCTTGAAGCTGTTGTCCTGTGAGCCGCCATCACACAGCTGTTAACTCTCAGAAACTTGTCCTCTGATTGAGTCGTGTCTTTGGGTCTGCAGACCTCCTCCTGTCACAGTTTGTTTCTGAGCCTTTGATGCTGAAGGATCTGGACTCACTGACACTTTGACTTTCTTTGCTGTTTCTCTGTAGGACAGACCGACATTTATAAGTGTTATGTTGGTCTGTGTGTCTTCCACTGTTAATCTCACGATTTTGTACCAACACACTACTCTCAGCAGTACTGTTCAACTGATGCTGACGAGGGCACCACAGTGTGTTCCAGCACTGCTTTATGCAGACAGAGGGGGGTGGAAGTAATGCAGAAAATCCAGAAAAGTTGAAACAGCTGTAGGATTTAGTAGCACCAGCTTTCAAGGCTTGCTCAGCCTCCATCGCTGCAGAACAGCTTTAGGTTGTTAACCCACGCTGCGTTCCCCGAAAAAGTCTTTTTGTCTAATTCTGAAATGTACATTATTTTTCACTTTATCTTTGTTTTTAACCTCTGGCATTTCACCACTTAAATTTGTACAATTTTAATTACTGTGCCTTAATGTTTTAATTATTACTAACAAATAGACCACAACAAAAAACAAACCCTAACAATCTGATGTTAAAAAAGAATAATTTATTCAAAAAAGTTTTTAATGAGCCATAAAAAACAGAAATGAAAATTAAAAACATTAAACCCTAAATTTAGAGTCACACTGAATGTGGAAAGTTCCCCTGATGATTCAGGCTCCCAGAGGTGCTTGAACAGCAAAGATATGTTTGAATCTGAGTGCAGTTAATTTCAGGTAAAGTTTAGGTTAACTGTGAAACGGTGCACAGGTGGTCTGGCTCTACCAGGACGGCACGTCCATAGATGCAGTTGCAAGAAGGTTTGGTCTGTCTCCAAGCACTGCCTCAAGAGTGCGGTAGAGATACCAGGGGACAGGCTATGACATGAGGAAAGCAGAACAGGACTGTGGAAAGGCATCGACTGTGCCTCGGGGCCAATGCCTTCATGTAAGCAGGAACCGAACAAACCCAGCCATAGCTCACAGTCAGCTCCATGCGAACTGTGTGAGATTCCCCAGAGAACAACAGAACTGGCTGGTCAGCTGTTTACAGTGTTCCTCGTCCCTTTATCATCTTTTTGCTTTGATTTATCTTGATGAGGCATCTGTTGAATTCAATTTAAATAGAAAAATCCGAAGAATGGTATTGAGTGACTAAACATCAGCTTTACATTAATATATTGTTTTATATATCACCAATGACCGCAGCAAAACAGGGGGAGTTTGCAAACTGCATGTTTGTGGTGTGTCATGGTGAGGACACAAAATCAGGACTCAGACAAAAGGGTAACTTAGCCGAGGGTAGAGTCTCAGCTTCTGGTGGCTGGTGCCAAAAAAGTGGCATAGCTCTGTCCTCCTGTGGGCCCACCACCCACAGAAGAGGCCGTAGTTTGGTGCTTACTAGACTTAGCAGTCAGAGGCAGAGGTTCTGGCACTCTCAAAACTAGCTTATGGTACATGTAGTGTCCCCTGGTGCAGAAGGAGCTCGAGCTGGTGCACAAGGTTGGAAGATGCTGACTAGATATAGTCTGGCTCACCTCAACACAAAGCTCCAGTTTGGTGGAGAGCAGTTAGACTCTCTTCCACTGTGCAGTTGTTCAGGGTTAGGTATACCTGCAGCCCCTTGGCTTTCCCCAGTGGACAAAAGAGTTGCTTCCCTGCATCTTCAGGCTGGAACAGGCTCTGGCTGTTATTTGTGCCTATGGGCCAAATGACAGAGTGCCAAGTGTTGTTAGTCACAGGGTGGGGTGCTGGAGAGTGCTCCAATCAGAGTTATAACACCGACTGATTTCATGAGTGGATTATTCTGCCATAATATTCAGTTAAATAGGGTTGGACAGCTTTCACATTTGAACTTAAATACTGGTGTACTGTGAGGGTGGCATCACTGTTGCAGTTCTGCTACACTAAAATATTAAATGCTAATGTTGGATTGTTACTGGTTATAGTTGTGTTATATGAGGTACAATGACTAAAACCTTAGTGTGTGTTTGTTTATCAAAAAACAGCATTCAGACACAGCATTCAGCGTTCAGACACTGCCCCTCTGACGGAGAGTACAACAATGTGAGCGTAGGTGTTGTTATGTATTCACTGTAAGTCTGTGAAGCAGGTGCATGAAAAGACTAATCAGGTATTAACATCACCTCCCGCTTGTATTTAATGGTTCAAACAAGGCAAAATGAACTGCTTTAGAAAATCATTGAGACAGGAAGGAAGGGGAAAAAAGAAAAAAAATTTTGTTTCCTTAAAAAATGTAATCCCACTTAAGTAATAGTACTTAAGTTTTAATAAGATAAGTAAAAATGTATGCTGAGACCACCCATCTATCCATTTTCTTCTTTTAATGCAAAACAAAGCAAACAGAATTTAAATTGGCAATAAAACATTAAAATGACAGCAC